CAAGGATGAGTGCATGTCACACAATCTGCCCATGTCGGCATGTGTTTAATCTGACTAACTTCTACCAAGTGATGATGAATTTGCCACAAAATACTCTAGTGTTTGATTTAACACATGACCTTTGACATCAACAAAAAACAGGGATTATTTCGACTTTTAAAAGTTAAAGGAATTGTTCACCCAAAAATAAAAATGAGTTGAAAATGTCCTCACTCTCAAGCCATCCAAGATGTAGATGAGTTTGTTTCTTCATCAGATTTGGAGAAATGTAGCATTACATCATTTGCTCAGCAATGGATCCTTTTCAGCAATTTTTCATTTTTTGGGTGAACTATTTATTTAAAAAGCAGACTTATTTTTCCATCCAAACATGCACAATTATGGTTAGTTGAATTTTATTATTAGCGTGTTGCATTGTTTTTCCCTGCAACTCACTAGGAAAGGTCTTCTTTTCTCTTGTGCTTTCTTTCCTTTTGAGAATTACATCACTTTGCAGAACCGGAACTCATAAAATAACGCACATCAAGGCGCTTCAGGAGAATTGCTTTGGTTTAATTTGGTAAGGCTTGTGAGCGGGACAACAAACAAATTCTGCTTCTCATTCTAGTCTAAGTGTCTGCAAAACTTAATCTTGAAGTTAATTACAATTGGGGTCTTTTAGGGTACACTAAGTATACGCTGTTTACTTCTTTGTTTCTCAAGTATAGCATTTGACTTAATGACTTTTGATTGTTTTTGTAGAAGTGCACTCAGTGCTTGAAGCGAGCTTTAGTGAGACTTCCTTCCCCTTTAACTAAATGTGCACTTGGGAGCAGAAAGGACCAGTTATTTTGATTGATGCTGACAAGGTGATTTGAAACAAAACTGACCACCAATAGCAGCAATAGTGAGTGAATGGAAGCTGGTCTTTGTTGCCAATTGCCAGAGACGGAAATGTCCTGAATGAGGACCAAGAATGTGCCTAACAACTGTCCTGGGTGGTCTGTCCACATATCCAACAATGCCTGTTGTTACAAAGACAGTGAATTGTCCATCCCAGCGGTAGAAATGCTGTTTAGTGACCTATTATTTCAGGTCTGCTTATGTTTTGAAAGCGAATTTGTCCTTGATTTGGCACAATTGGTCATTTAAGGTGAGTGAATCCTTGTAGTTTTCATATATAAGACTCGAGTTGAAGGTATTCCAGGGTTTGTGAAGATTCATATCATGTATTGTCTTGATGAACATGAGTTTACATTTACATGTATTCATTTGGCAGACGCTTTTATCCAAAGTGAGTTACAGTTGAGGAATACAACAAGCGATTTATCATAAGATGGCAATAAATATGAGAAGTGCCCGTTATACAAGGTTTCATTCTTCATTCAAAATAGTAAAAGCTAGGACTGGAAGAGATAAAGGATAATAATAGAATAGAAAAAGTGAAGGTAAAGACTTTTTTTTTTAGGAGGATGCAGTTAGATGCTCACAGAAAAGGTGAGTTTTCAGTTGATTCTTGTAGATTGTGAGGGATTTGGCTGTCCGGATGGAATTAGGTCATTCCACCAACAGGGTACAGTGAAAGAAAGCATCCTTGAGAGTGATTTTGTGTCTCTCTATGATGGGACCGCTAGCCGCCGCTCATTTGCAGACAGCAGGCTTCTGGAGGGGATGTAGACGCGTAGGAGGGTGCGGAGCACGTGGCTGATCTGTAGGCAAGTTCATTTGGCAGACGCTTTTATCCAAAGTGAGTTACAGTTGAGGAATACAACAAGCGATTTATCATAAGATGGCAATAAATATGAGAAGTGCCCGTTATACAAGGTTTCATTCTTCGTTCAAAATAGTAAAAGCTAGGACTGGAAGAGATAAAGGATAATAATAGAATAGAAAAAGTGAAGGTAAAGACTTTTTTTTTTTAGGAGGATGCAGTTAGATGCTCACAGAAAAGGTGAGTTTTCAGTTGATTCTTGTAGATTGTGAGGGATTTGGCTGTCCGGATGGAATTAGGTCATTCCACCAACAGGGTACAGTGAAAGAAAGCATCCTTGAGAGTGATTTTGTGTCTCTCTATGATGGGACCGCTAGCCGCCGCTCATTTGCAGACAGCAGGCTTCTGGAGGGGATGTAGACGCGTAGGAGGGTGCGGAGCACGTGGCTGATCTGTAGGCAAGCACCAATGTCTTGAACTTGATGCGAGCCGCGACTGGAAGCCAGTGCAGAGAGATGAGAAGCGGTGTGATATGTGCTCATTCTGAATCATTTGCAGAGGTCTGATTGCACATGTTTGAAGTCCAGCCAGAAGAGCATTGTAGTAATCCAGCCTAGAAATGACAAGAGCCTAAACGAGAAGCTGTGACGCATGCTCTGTTAGGAAGGGTCGGATCATCCTGATGTTGTGTAGTGTTTTTGCAATATGATCTTTAAAGGTCAGCTGATCATCAAGAATCACCCCAAGATGGCCGAACATGATGGGATTGTTGATGAGCCCAGTTGGATGGTAATCTGGTGCTGTACTGATGGGCTGGCTGGGAAGATGAGAAACTCTGTCTTTGCCAGGTTGAGCTGCAGGTGATGTTCTTTCATCCATGTTGAGCTGTCCATCAGACAGTCTGAGATCCAAGCAGGTACCGTTGGATCATCTGGTTAAAATGAGAGGTAGAGCTGCGTGTCATCAGCATAGCAATGGTAGGAAAAACCATGTGCCTGAATGATGGGTCCCAGTGATGTAGTGTATATAGAGAAGAGGAGGGGTTCAAGAACTGATCCCTGAGGAACCTCAGTGACCAGTTGATGTGATTTGGATAACTCTCCTCCCCAAACCACTCTGAAGGACCTACCTGTGATGTAAGACTCAAAGCAGTGGAGTGCAGTTCCGGTGATGTCCAGCGATGAGAGGGTGGACAGAAGGATTTGATGATTAACCGTGTCGAAGGCAGCAGATACGAGAATGAAAAATGAAGATTTGGACTCAGCTCTTGCACTCCGTAGCACTTCAGTGACTGACAGCAAGGCGGTTTCAGTTTAAAGGCAACTTTTCAATTCAGATTGGTTATTGTCCAGCCGGTTATTCTGTGAGAGGAAGGAAGACACTTGGTTGAAAACAAAGCGTTCAAGTGATTTTGCTGTGAAAGTGAGGAGAGAAACAGGCCTGTGGCTTTCAACAAGCGAGGTGTCTAGTGTAGGTTTTTTTAAGCAGTGGGGTTACCCGTGCCTGCTTGAATGTGGTGGGGAAAATGCCTGAGATTAGAGATGTTTTGATGATGTATGTGAGTGAAGGCAGAAGTGCAGGGAAATAGCTTGTAGGAGATGTTAGGGGATTGGGTCTAGAGGGCAGGTGGTAGGTTGGCTGGAGAGGATAAGTTTAGAGACTTCATCTTCTGTAAGAGGAGAGAAGATGGTGCTGTGTGAGTGTTTGCTGTGAGTTCGTGGGTGAATGGAGCCGAGAACTGATTGCTGATGTATGTGGTTTTGTTTGTGCAAAATTGTCAGCAGTTAAAGAGGAGGTGGGAGGTGGCGGAAGGGGACAAAGGAGAGTATTGAGTGTTTTGAAGAGTTTGCGTGTGAAGATAATGAAGATAGCAGTGACTGATACCTGCTGAGATCAGCTGAATCTTTTGATTTGCATCATTTTCTCTCTGCTGCCCTGAGTTTAGTCCGATGCTCGCGGAGGACATCGGCTAACCAAGGGTTGGAGGGAGTAGCTCGTGCAGGTCTGGAGCAAATAGGACAGATATTGTCTAGGCACATCTTTCCAGCTCATCTTATGTAATAATGTGTTATGTAATATTATGAACATTGCCAAAGGTTTATTCATATTCAGATATTTCAAAAGGAAATGCTAATGCTTCTGGATGTTTTGATCCTGACTTGTGTTGCTTGCTTTGGCTTCTGTAAAACCCTTTTTCATATTTTTAGATTGCAATCTTTCAGGATTTGATATGCAATGCATGCATGATAGTTTTGTGTGTATATTATATGATGATAATGACTGAGTGACTGGTTGACCAGTCTTAAAAGTGCAATACGATGGTTTTTGCTTTTTGAAAGTAAGACTTTCATATTGTTACATAACTTTCACATAATCATATGATAAGTTACACACACACATTTACATATCAAAAAATTTTATAGTGGTGCTGTAATTTCACATGCTTTTAGTACTAAAAGTATAATACGTTTAGTATTATATACTTGTATTTAGTAATATTTTAAATTAGCTTTTATTTTCAGTTTCATTTTAATTTTAGTTATACGCTTTTGTCCTTTTTAAATGATCTGGTAAATCATTTTTATATGGTTTAATTTATTGTTATTTAAATTTTTATTTCATTTTAGTAATTTTATTACTTCAATATAAAACATATTTCAGTTAGCTGCCAAAGCAGCATTTCTGAGTAATATTGTTCTTTTCTTTTCTTTCTCGTTCTGTTTTATTTCAGTTACTTAAAATTGTTTTTTAATAGTTTTAGTTTTAGTTAACAATAGCAATAATAATGTACTTGTGTTGGTGTTGTTATAATTTTGTCATTTCTAATTATTAAAAAAAAAAATTCTATAGTTTCATTTTTATTTCAGTTTAGTAGTTTTATTATTTCAATATAAAACTTATTTCAGTTAGTTGCCACGGCAACATTTTTGAGTTTTCTTTTCTTTTCTTTTGTTCTGTTTTATTTCAGTCATTTAAAAGGATTTTTTAGTTGATAGTTTTGATAGTTTTTTTTTGTTGAAAATGATAGTTTTAGTTTTAGTTAACAATAGTAACAATAATGTGCTTGTGTTGGTGATGTGGATTTGAAACTGTCTATGATATTATTCACACAACTGGCAGATGTTGTTATTCATCTGGTTATTGCAAGAGTTTGTCAGTTTTCAAGAGCGCACACTTCAGGTATGTTTTCTTCAGGTGTTAACAGGCTAATAGTTCAGCAGAAACAGCTGTTGAAACCGCATGTTCTTATGTCAGCTTGCAGGTGTAAAGATGTGTGAACAGCATCTCTGTGTTTCTGTGTGTCCTACAGCTGTGTGCAGTTACGGCGTGTGCTTTAATGGAGGTCAGTGTAGAGAAAGTTCAGCTCAACTCTGCCTCTGTCCGGCCGGATTCAGCGGTCCCAGCTGCCAGTACGGTAAGTCCAAACAAACTGAACACTTTCCACTATTAGTTTCTTCGTCCCTTTTGCTGGATCTGGAAAAAAGTTTTTGATTCTTATGAATGTTTGAGAAACAACTTATATTAAATGGGGTTAGTTGATATTAATAAAAACAAGCTGATTAGAAAGCTCTCATTTAAAAAAGAAAAGGCCATATTCTTACAAAGTCCTGTTGTTTTATCAATATAAATTTTTTTTTTAAACTATTAACTAAATTTTTTTTTATTAATGGCACAAGTAGCTGACCAGGTTTACATTTCACATTTTTGTTGAAAAGATGCAATTGTTAGAAGAATTAATTGTTATATATTAAGAATATCAAAAAGTCAATAACTTTACATTTCTTCACTTTTGTGCGTGCTTGCTTTATTTATATATATATATATATATATATTTATTTATTTATACTAATAATAATGTATGTATGTATTGTATTAAAATTAGCACTATTTATTGCATCATATTTTTATACAAAATCTTTCATAATCTTTTTTATTAATAAAAAATACTGTATTATTATTATTATTATTTATATACTATTTATTTTATTTAATGCAAGTAATTTTAATTTATTTGTATTTTTAATTTTCTTTCATTTATTTTTATTTAAATGCAATCCAATTAGCTGACCAGGTTTACATTTCACTTCAAGTTGAATCCTGTAACCTGTTTTAAAAAAGTCTGTATCCTGTTTTTTTTTATTTTTTATCTTGAAATCTAGTAGTTTTTGCGTGTGCATTTGTTCTAGAAAATATAAAGTGTAGTTCAGTCAGGACCACTCTGTTTGATTACTTTTATTGTAGAGGTCCTGAACATTATTTTGGCGGCAGGCTTTGCTCTGAAGGGTTCAGATTGTGAGCTGTCCACAAGCAAACCTCACTGAAAATTCTGCAATTACCAGAATTTTTAATATGCAGCAGATATAAAATTCCATGCAGAAGTGATACAGGTCTGTAAATGAGACTGGACAAGATTAAGCAACGATTAGCTGATAGATGATTTCCGTGGACATGATGCTAAGTGACCATGTGCCTGTATAAGGAGGAGTTGGGGATGGAGGAGGGTAAGTGCATGTCTGTGCGACAGACTAAATCAAGTGTGAGTACAGATGAACTTATATATCTTATTTAATTGTAGTGGGAGGAGCTACAATCAAATGAGCGTCAGCCGATGCTGGCTGTCACGCTGTGGTCTGCCTGAACTACGCCTGAGCTCCATTCGTCACCCAAACTACATTTCTAATGATTTTGACTGCATTTCCTTTTGAATAAATGCATGTTTCCCCCCTCAGAGCGTTTTCTCGGGCTGTCTGAGTCTCTAAAGTATTGAAAGCCAAGAATTTTATCTGTAACTGCAATCATAGCTGGTGAGAGAGGATGCTAATAATGGAGGATGTTGTTTTTCGGTGATAATCTACACACGACAGGAAATTCTTCACAAATCTTGCCCTACATTTTTAGTTACTGTAGTCTCCTCTTTGTCCAGGAGAGTGATAACAGATGCTGGTTGTGTTGCAGTGTTGCAGACAGATTCAATTAATTACACAGCTTTCAGCAACATTATGGACGTCTAAGATGTTGCTTGCATATTCTCTTCCAGAGACTCTGGATGCATCTGAAGTAGCTTGAGTTAGCGTGACCTGATGGTTTTCGTCTGTTTTGAGTTTCATTTTTTAAGTCTGTTTGCTGTATCTTCAGATGTGCACAGCTGGTAACATTGGTCATTTATTGTGGACAGTTCCTGATGTGTGTGTCGTTAAGAGTGATGCTGATTGATTCGGTCGGCATGCACAAACAGTAACAGCCACAGTCTCTTGTAGGAAAGTGTAATTGTGACTGTGACCTAGTTTTACCCCGTATAACTTCTGTAATGCCAGACTGACACTGAAGAAAAAAAGAGACAATCAGGGAGAAAATATGGGTGAATCTCACAAATCCTGTTGAGAGTAAATTATATTAACAATATGTATTAAGATGTTATGCAATCTTTCTTGCATTATTTTTATTATCATAGTTTCATGCATGCCTCTTTATTTATTCTTGCTGTTGTATTGATGCTAATAATGAATGCAAGCTGTTATTGTTTAAAAATTATAAAACACTATATATATTGTATAATATTTTATGTAATATCTTTCATTATTGTTATTATTATTATTAACGCATGCTTATTTTTTATTTATTCTCGCTGTTGTCGTATAATAATAATGCATGACATGTTATTGTATAAAAATTATACAACACTGTATAGTATATTTCATGCATTATTATTATTATTATTATTATTATTATTATTATTATTATTATTATTATTATTATTATTATTATTATTATTATTATTATTATTATTATTATTATTATTATTATTATTATTATTATTATTATTATTATTATTATTATTATTATTATTATTATTATTATTATGCACAAAAGAAAAATCTATAATTTTGACCCATACAATGTATTTTTGGCTATTGCTACAAATATACCCCAGCGACTTAACACTGGTTTTGTGTTCCAGGGTCACATATACTCTATATACTTTTAGTCTTTTTTTAAGGCTGCATTTATTTGATCGAACACACAGTCAAAACAGTAATATTGTGAAATATTATTACAATTTATAATAACTGTTTTCTTCTTTAATATATTTTAAATTTAAATTTATTCCATGATCCTTCAGAAATCATTCTAATAGCTGATTTGCTGCTCAAGTAACATTTTATTATCAGTGTTGGAAACAGTTGTGTTTTTGAAGTGACATGTCAGTTAGTTGTATATGTAGTTTGAAAACAGGGGGGACTGGAAAACTAATTAAATCCTAAAAAGTAAAAAAATAAAATTAATCTCTCCTCTAAGATAATTCAGTAGCTAGAAATTGCTGTCTGAGTGCAATTACTATATAATTATTTTCAAAAACCTTTATTCTGTAATCACAAGTGTTTGGAAAAGTACTGGCGGTTAGGATTAGAGTTTGAAATATGTAGGAACCCTACATAAAACTGTGTTTATGGATATTATGTGTTTATTTCTCAGCATGTGTCTGGACGTTGCATCCACTGAAAGAGCAGAATAGATCTGGGATTTTTATTCGTCAATTCAGAGGGAGTCTAAGATTTATGAGTTGGTAATTTTCTAATTAGCCTTAATTGTACAGTGTACAGAGGTGTGGATGTATCTCATGTCTCAGTTTTTAGTCCTCGTCTTTAGGATCAGAGAAGGGTTTTCTAAGCTCTGTCTTCTAGTTGGCTTGAGTTTCCTGATGGAATCCAAACTTTGGCTGTTGTAAGTAGAAACAAGCTACTTTCTTATGGAGACCAGATTAGACAAGGAAACTCCAGGGACTCAATGGAAACGAGTTTATCAAGAGCTCAGCACACAGTACAGACAAGAAAATATGCTGGAATGATAAATATTCCTCAGTAGTTTCTCAGAACGCGATGGTGACGACAGCTTGTTTGTGGAAATGAAGCTAAACCATTTGAGAAGAGAGTTGATATGCAGGACTCGTGTACGTTTTGCAATGAAATGTGTGGAGGAGTCATTCAGTTATCTGAGGTAATGACCCCAAACAGGTGTTGGAGTCACAGAGGGGAACGTTTATGAATGATAAAGCTGGCATGTATTGTGTCATGATGCTAAAAATATGAAGGAGTCATGAAGCTATAAAATAAAAAAAAATCACTATCTTAGATAAAATATTTAAAAAACCCTTAAACTTAGTTTATTCAGCAACATTTCTTATTCTATTTTAGTTGAATTTGATGTAATAAAAATAGCTAAAACTGAAATTGAATTATAAATGAATAAAAAACTATATAGACAAAACCCTAAAAATATACAAAAAATAAATAAAATTTTACAAACCATAATAGTATCTCAATTATATTTAAATATGACTGGTTCATGGGTTTTTTTAGTCTTTAATTGAGCTCTGATTATGGTTTCTATTTTTCTATCAGCATAAATTTGAAATTAAATTGTTGCCCTTATAAAACTTTCATTATAAACATTAAACTTTAAAAAGTATTTTTTATATTTGTTTGCATATATTGACGTATATTATAAAATGAATTTACAGGAAAAGTCAAATGGAGGTGGAGTAAGTAAAATCATTTATAAAATGAGCAGAATGAATTTCTGGGTAAAATGAATGTTATGTAAATGACCACATTTAATTGCATGCAACAGTTAAGAATGGTTTTACAGATTACCGTATTGGCCCGAATATAAGACGACCCTGATTATAAGACGACGCCCCTTTTTCCAAATGTACCTTTTGGAAAAAGGCTTTTAAAAAAGCAATTTTATTTTTTTCTCAGTAAAACACATTTTGTCTTCAATTATTTTCATATTGCATATTTGTCCTATTTTAATTTTTGTTTTGAAAGTATGGTAAAAACTGGTAAAATGTACCAACAATCACATTACGTTTTAAAATCACAAAGGGAGTTTAGTCACGACCTTTACAACACGCATTACATTACGTATTTCATGGCACACTCGTTTTATGCATATTTGACGCCACCTATTGTTGTGGGTGTATTATTGACATGCCAAAGTCTAGACCCTGAATATAAGATGACCGAGTTTTTTCAGATGTATTTCCAAGAAAAAAACATTGTCTTATATTCGGGTCAATACGGTATTTAAACATGTATGCATTCTGCTCACATTTCATGAATGAAGCTTTTTGATTCACTAAATCTTTTTTTTTTATTACTTCATTTATACATTCCAAATGAACTTCGCTACATATGACTAAGAAGGCATTTTATGAGAGTAAAGCTGCAAACACAGTAGAAATGTGTAGTTACAGGAATCATATATCCAAAAATGAAAATTTGCTGAAACTTTACCCTCATGCAACATTAAATCACCAGTGGATCCTCTGCAGTGAATGGGTACCGTCAGAATGAGAGTCCAAACAGCTGATAAAAACATTACTATAATCCACAAGTAATCCACACCACTCCA